CTGTCATAGAAACACCTTAGTAGAAAATCGCTTCCTGTCTCGTAAATTGCGACCAAAGTCAAAAAAATTGAATTTTTAGGCATAAATTTCCGTGGGTCCCGTTTGTGTTACGGAAATTTATGCCCCAAAAAATTTCCTGATGTATCATTTTTAGAATATTGACAGTACCTTTCCTTAATTTTTTTCAGGTACGAGGTGATCAAGTTTGGTTTACTATACTAACAATTACTTTACTAGAGGTTTTGCACTTGACTTCTAATCAGAGGTATAAGTACTTGAAATCTAGTCAGAAGTTTTGCACTTAGTGATATCCAATAATTTCTATATTTAATTTAATATTTCCTGACAGTAGTGATAGAGCAAATCCTGAAGACTTGTTAGTTTCATTAATTTCGACATCTATTGTTGATCTTTTTTCATTTCATTTTGACAAAGTTTTCCTTGTGTTTTCAACATTTATTCCAGAATTATCATCTTAGTAATAATTTATTTTCTATAGTTTCAGTTATTCTTTTCAATAGTTCTATTAATTTATTTTCACATTTGTTCTCCTTATAATAATTAAAATTCCTTTCTGTTAGAAAGCACCAAATTGTCACCAGTAATTTCTGGTTCCCTTGAGGTTAAACCAGTAGAGTGACTTAACAGTTCTTTTAAGGAGTTTATAGTCTTTTTCTGAAGGTAAGACTGTTGTTTTATTATTTTAGAAGGTACCATTGATTCAATTATTTTAGAAAGAGAATAGACCTTTCATCCAATTTATTTCAATATCTTGTCAAGTTTATTATTATCCTTAATGTTAACATCCATTTATTAGTCATCTTTTAATTTCATCAACTTTGAATATTATTTTCAATTATCTAGATTAATTATTATTTCAAGTTCAGAGTTTATAATAATACTTTATAATTAATTTTATTAACTCAAGAATAATAATATTATACAATTATACAACCAAGTATTTAATTCTATAATATCCATTATTCCTTTGTTAATTACATATTTTATCATTTAATATAATTTTAATTTAATATTTTCAATATATATTATTTTATTAATTCAATTGTAAGATAATTTTACAAGTATTTATCTTGAAGTTACAAATTATAAAATTAAATTAATCAATTTCAAATAAGTTACAAATTATTAAAATTCAAAATTATAAAGTTGTAAACTAAAGAGGTGCAAGATAATTTCAGTCCCTTTTTATATCTAAATCTAAGATCTTCATTACTGTACCATTACTGTGCCTTACTGTACCTTATTGTGCACTACTACTATTGGTTACTATTTTTTTATTTTATTTACTATTATGTCTAATACTAATTAATACTATGTGTTAATAATTATTATTAAATAATGTTATGTGATGATAATTAATGTTATGAATTGATAATTATATTTGTATAACTAAATATCACGTGAACACGTGATCTTGTACTATTATTCCGCGACTAATTAATATGTGTTACTGAATATAAATATTAACTGTTTGTTTTTACTAATTAATTTTTAAACACTACTATTTTTAAGTTATTATTAATTATTGCAGGTGTTTTTAGTATTGCATACTATACTAATTGATCAAGATATTTTCATTCTGTAATACCATTTACAAAACTCAAGAATTAATATTAACAGATATATCGCTAAACTTGGATTCCCAGATGTGGGAAAAAGGACAGGCATACGTAGCATTAAGCAGGTGCAACAATTGGAAAAACATAAAAATTCTAAAGACGCATTTATTGTAGATCAAATTATGATTAAAGAATATGAAAAATTGAAAAAAAAGCATCAGAACCACTGCCACTCACTATTTCAAAACAATCATAATACAAACTACTAAAATAAAATTTTTTTTTTTTAGCAATAATAAATAATAAATTTATTAATATTTATTTAATGTTGTTTTCTTTTAAAAGTACTTTGCCAATAATAAAATTTTTTTGTAACAATTGAAAATAATATTTATTTAATATTTTTTTTTAAAAAAATAAAGTGACGTGACGAAGTCACCCATGTACCTAATCTAGTTTCAAAATTAATTTTGGAAAATTATTTTATTTAAAACACAAAATTTTTTTAACACTACATCTGAAAATTTTATTAGGTAAAAATTTGCACAAGTTTTTTGTGCATTTTTTTCTATTTTTTCGACTTTTCTCATGATTTATGAGGCACAGAGATATTTTCTACTAAAATATTTCTTAGATAGAATGGCCTTGTTCTTACAGAGATCGTTTTAAACAAAAACATTTGTGAAAAAATCGTGAAAATTTTCACACGATTTTTTCACAAATGTTTTTTGTTTAAACTGTATGATCTGTGAATATCGATGCTACAGGAATGAAGCACATTCCATTTTGTAACTAAGAACAAGGTTGTTCTATCTATACTAGAAATACATTGATAGAAATCACTTTATGATTCACGAATCACAAGCGAATTGAAAAAATGTAAAAAGTGAAAATCTGAAAATTTTTGCATTTTTTTATTTTTTTCAACTTCACTTGTGATTTGTGGATTATAGAGTGATTTTCTACTAAAGTATTCTAAGATAGAAAGAAAGGCATTGATATTCGTGAAGTAATTCTAGTTTAAAAAAAATGTCCATAAAAAAATTGTGCAGAAATTTTTTGACACAATTTTTTCACAGATGTTTTTCTTTAAACTAGAATACCTCTGCAAATATCGATGTCATTGAAATAAAACTCATATCATTTTGTAGCCAAGAACAAGGACTTTCTTTCTATCTTAGAAATACCTTAGTAAAAAATCACTCTACACTTTGTAAATTGCGAGTGAAGTCAAAAAATCTAAAAGTATACCTGTCTACTATCGGATTAATCGATTTATGATATCAACTTTCGTGTTTTTATGAGTCGCTATTACAGTATGTAATTTGTAATTTCTTTTTTATGTAATTCATGGCCTAAGCATATTTATTCGTGCTACGCTAACGAACTTTGAATTATCCCCATATTGTATAAAAAATATTATCAATTAATTCATTAAGGCAACTTGAGACCGAGATTGCTAAGCATTTAAAACGAATCATAGAAGAATATACCAAAAATGAGGTCGATATATCAAAATTAATATAATATTTAGCATTTGCCATTGTCACAAGTTAAATTAATAAATAAATATATAATTTATTTAAAGTATATATAATGAATTATTTAAAGCGTAATATGATAATCATTATTATTATTACTCCTCTTTCAAATCGCTCAAAATATTCTTTATTATATCATCATGGTTCTTTTTATTCTGGAACCATTCTTCTTCACTACTTTCGCTTCTACTTCTACTTCTAGACATATGCTTGACTTTTTCATTAACTGAAAAAGTTTCTCCATATATCTCATCATTACTTGATCCACTATCACTACTTAATTCATCATTTTGTGTCAAAGATAAAGTTCCTACTTTTTCCAACCATCGTTTCTTTAATTCATATCCTTCTTTTTGTACAATTTCATCCGCTTTCGTAGGAATAGCTTGTAACATTTGATGTACGATATATCGAACCACATTAAGAATATGTTCAGATAACCAAATAAGTACAATGGTAAAGATTACTCCAGACAAAGAAGTAAATCCTTTGGTATTTGGATGATATAAATAAATAATTGATGAATTCGTAATTGATGAAAGCCAAGTAAGAAGTGACTAGATATTATTTACAATAATAAAAGATAATAAATAATAAATAATAAATAATAGTATATTATAAAAAATAATAATAATATTTAAATAACTTTCACTTACTAAATTTTGAAGCCACGGTCCTATACTATTTGCTCGAGAAGGAATTGGTCTTCTTGTATGTTCACATAATTTTATAGCATCAGAACGTAATTCAACCCAATTGTTTATAAGTGCAAGTATTGGAGTTAATGGCCATATCACTGAAAAGAGACTGACATATCCGAACTATTTAAAGGAATAAAATAATTGAATAAAATAAATAAAACAAATAATTAAATTAATTAATTTATTTTATTATTTTTACCTGTGTGATCATTTCCACATAATCTTCGTAAATGTCATAAACAGGTAATTCTACTTCATTCTTCACTATCTTTAAGAAATCATTTTCACCCTCATTCTTTCCATCATTTATTATAATCTTCTGAATTTTTTTCATTTCAAACATTCCAAATCTTACTAAATAAGGTAAAACTAATTCCATGAATAAGCTTAATATTTGAGCTGTCAATACAAAATATTTCAATTCTGTAATAAGTCTTTCTGGTCCAACAGTTTTCATGGTAAACGATAATCCAAATATTTCAAAAAAGTTTTGAAGGTAAATACTAATTTCTTTATTAAATGGAATATAAATCCATCCAATAAAGAAAATTGAAAGATATCCAATTAAGAAATTGGCTATAAAAATTTTTTGCGAGAGATTAAATTCATATGATGATTCCGTTTCATAATTTTCATATTCATTTAAACGTTTCGCAACCTTATTATAAAATATATTTAATGCTGGTACCAAGGCGCAATATGTTATGGTAGGAAGATATATTAGTTGCTTCCTAAAAGGACCAGAATAATATTCTGACATAATGACTTCAAATAAGATATAAAATAAAAGTGCCATCGCCAAAACTAAACTAAATGTTAAAATAATAGGTGCGGCGGCGGTTCTTATTAACCATCTCTTCCAAGGAGGATAATATGGAACCTTTTCCCCGGTTATAGGATTAATGACCAAACATTCCTTTCTAAAACCTGGTCGTCGTTTTTCAACTTTGGATACATTTCGTACTCCCCAAAATACTGACAATTCATATTCTTTTCGTTGCCAGAATTCATTAAAAATTATTGACCAAAGTACAATAAATAATCCAAATGGGATTGAATATTCGGACGAATAAAAATATGTAAGTAATCCAGCGATAGATGGTAATATAAGCCATCTACAATAATATTGGAGGAATGCAAAGTAATATGCAATCTATTTGAATAAATGATTGAATAAATAAGTGATTTAATAAGAGGTAAATGTTTAATAAAATATTAAACAGAAAATTTACTTACTTTCTCTCCGTAATGATTTTTTAATCGAAAAAGATCATCTTTATTAATTACCCATTTTGTAGACCAAGTTTTTATCCATTCCTAATGAAAAAATGTTTAAAAATATTTTAATTTCATATTTTAAATGATAAAGAATAAATTGATAGAAAAGAAACATATTATTAACCTCACCTCATTATATTTATGATCATGAAGTGGAAGGATACTCTCTACAAGATCAAAATCTTTAAATCCTGGAATAATTCCAGCACCTTTTTCATCTTTTTCATGAGGAGAGTTGGTAATAATGTCATATACAAGTCGTAACCTTTCTGCATCATTTAAGGTTTCTGAATCAGCATGATCGTCAGTATCTCGAAGACGGACTCCAGCAAGCCAATCATTAATCCTATATATAACATTATAACGGGAATTCAGGATTCAATAATTTTATTAATTTAAATTAATTTTAATTAAAAATAATAATAAATTTATTAGTTACCTTGATCTTTCTACCTCTTGCTTAAGTCTTTCTAAAGGACATAAGACAAATATAAAAATTAGATCATCAGCTCCGCGTCGCGCTTCATAATTAAGTCCGGCTTTACTTAATCTTTTCAAAAGTTTCCGGCATGTTTGTTCTACTTTTGTTTTATGTTCTTCTTTTTCGACAGGCGATAATTTGCTAAAAACTTTTGTGCGTACTACTATAACATAGTCTGCAAAAATTTCTTTACTCTCCTGTTTTTGAAGAATTCGAAAAAGAAGATCTTGTGTTTCTTGAAGCTTTGATTTAAAAATTTTGGTATCAACCTCTGTAGGAAGTTTTGGAAGTGCAGAAAGCAAAGAATTTGAATTAATTTCAGACATTATTAATATAATGAATTTTGAAAATTCAAAAAACTTTTATTCAAAAATGCATTTTTGTCATTCATTTAGGTCATGCATGAAATACGTGACTTTGTGACCTTTTACTTACCCATAAGTATATAGTAGATAAAATAAATGTAAAAAACTTCTATGAAGGGATAGATCATCTCCATAAGTTTCGAATTGAAAATTATTTTCTTCCAAAAGTTTAAAAAGTGCACGTTCCATAGTAGTTTATTGTAAGAGAAAGAGAAAAAAACGAAAATATTCGAAAAGTCATTATTATAATCAAACGTGACGTCATGCGCGATAACCAATGTCCGACTTTGTTTACTGGTTATAAATGAATCATCAATTTTTTAATCGTACCATAAAAAAGTAAAATAAAGTAATAAGTAACGTAACCAAGATAAGATAAATGACGCTTAACTAGAAAATAACTAGAAAATGAATAAGGAGAACAAAGAAAAGAAAGTAATATCTACGCCGCTATTACGAAAACAAACGAAGTCTGTAGAAATTCGAAAGCCTCAGACGACTCTTTTACAAAGTAAGAGTGGATCTGTAGTAAATAATGAAGAAACTGAAAAACTTCGCGAACTAAAAAAATTTAAACACGAAAAAGAACAAGCTGAACGACGTCGTTTGCTTGAAGAATATTTAAAGAAAAAAGAGTCGGAAAGATTTAAGAAGTAATAAAGAATTTTATTATTTATTCTAATTTGTTACATATCATAATTTCATAATTAATATAATAAATTAATAAATAAATAAATATAAATTTAGTAAAGTGAAACAATCTAAAGTGATTAAAAAGAGAATAAATAAGAAAGTTAGAAATAATGTTATAAAAAATACCCGACCTTTTAAAAAACCGAATTTACCAAATCCATTAGTATCATCATCATCATCAACGCAATTAAAAAAAATCACACCCTCAACTGTGACAAATATAACAACTACTAAGTCGAAGGAATTATTCAATAGTAATAAAGAAATAAAATTCGAAACGAATTATCAATCTTTTGTACATTCTTCAGTACAATTAACCAATATATCCCAAAATAAAAATTTATCATCAATTAATTTCTCGGATAAAACCATTGAAAACATTATTGAGAATGTAGACAACCGATTAGATTCTATTAATGAAGGATCAATGCCTGCATCGAATATTTCAAAGAAATCGGATTTGGATATTACACCTATTCGTAGGCATTCAAAGATATATGAAAGTCCTTCAATTAAAGTATCGGGTAAAGCACAACGGATTTTAGTATCTAATATAGAATCTGATGACGCCCAAGAAAAAATAAATCAAGAAGAAGAAGGTTTGGTAACGCCCACATTATCATCACCTTATGCAACAGTAATTCCTCGTAGACGTTCAAAAATATATTCAAGTCCCGCAATAAAGGTATCTGGAAAAGCTCAACGCGTAAAAGTACAAATGCCTGATGAATCGGAGGAAGGAGAATTGGAATCTCCCTCTAAACCATATAGTAAATATAATCCTGAAGGCAAGTTAATAACTGAACTTATGACATCACAATTTAATTCTCGCAGAAATTCAAAAACATGTCAAAGTCCAACTTTAAAATTGTCTGGAAAAGCTCAACGAGTGAAACTTGATTCAACTCTCTCTGAAGATGATAATGATTCCCCCAAAAAGATCACATTGACATCATTGAATCCTCGAGAACGTTCATATTCTTTGACCAGAAATAAATTTTCAGAAAGTGATCAATCAAATTCTACCGAGATGCCACATTTATACAAACGTCACACATCTCCTATATTTAAATTCCAAGGGTCTGGTAAATCTCAACAATTGACGGTTGATTTAAATGGAACAAACGATGTATCAGAAAATTCAAAAGTAGATGTTGTATTAGAGAAAAATAATATTTACGAAAAACTCAATCAATCGAATCAACTTGAAACAGAAAAGAAAATATACACTTCTTTATATTCAACTCCTGATAATAATAATGAAAAAGGAAAAATTACTACGAAAAATTTATTAAGCCAAACCGTAGATTTGAAAGAATCCTTAACATCTATGAAAGTAAAAAAGAATGAACGTGAAGGTATAAATTCAATAATTTACATAATAAATAAATAAGATATCCGTGTTTATATATTTTAAAACAGTTTCTTTAGCGGTATCTCCGATAAGAAATCAAAAAACATTATCAGATACGAATTTATTAATCTTTGATGAACAAGAAATTTGTAAATTGTTGGAACAAAATGGATTTAAATATAAACCAAATCTGGTATAAATATTGAATTTTATAATTATTACAACTTATAATTATAATCAAAATGAGATATTAATCTCTAATTAACTTTTTTATTAAGGCGTTACATTGTGAACATAATCTTTCGCCCCTTAAAAGAAATTCTAAAAAGGGTGATGTAAAAAATTCTGTTGAACAAGGAAATCAAGGATCAACTATGAAAACGAATAGATGGGAGAGTTTCACTGATGTTTTAGGTTTGGGACCAGGACCAAAAAATCTTTGATTTCATACCATTACGAAACCGTCTGGCACCTAGCCAGTAGTCGTAGAGTTTTTTTAATATCATTGGATTCAGTATCACATTTGCATACGCGTAATTCAATTCAATTTTTTTTTTTAGTCACTGATTTGAAAAAATTTGATAGAATGTTTAACTATTTTATTCTAAAAATTCTTATGATCTTTTTAAATATTTTTTATTTCAATGCACTTGTAATGTATTCCTGAATTATTCGGGATCAATGTTCCTAAATAATATTGCTGGCTCTCCCGGAACCGCTAGCTCTACAACCTTTTTTTCTTCTTCATCTTTGGCTAAAATTCCTCTCATAACTATAACTCTTTTATATCCAAGATTTCTTCGGAAGAATTCTTTAACTGCAAATAAAGTCTCATATTCATTAAACGATAATTCTCTATTAAATGCCACTGTGCCATGTTTTTCGACTTGTTTCTTAAATTCTTGGACAAATGGCATAGTCTTTTTATTTTTCAAAATTCCTTTTTCAGATAAAATGGCGCGAATTTTAACATCATCAAATGTATTAATGTCCTGTATATTGAAAAAAAAATTTTTCAATTTTAATAAATGAATAAATAAGTGATTTGTTATAATTTAAAATTAATAAAAATATCTTATGACAAACCTTTTCATAACTTTGTTTAATCGCTTCGACGGAAGTATCTTGCCATTCCGGGAATTTTGAAGCAACAAATAATTTGAGTTCTTTTGGTAAATTTGGATCAAAATTATCAGATTTTCCCTTTTTCTTTTTCTTCTGGGTTGCGATTTCTAAATCACGGATTGATTTAAGCATTTTTCGAACATATTCTGTCGCATCAAGCAACCCTTCATCAATAGGGACAGATGGTTCTGGGAACATCTCATTTATAATAAAGGATTTCTAATTTCAAATGTAAAATAATATAAATGTAATGTAATTTATATTGTATAAATAAAAAATTTCAAATTAAACATTTTATATTACCCTCAACAAAACTTCTCTCCAAATATATTCTGACCAATGTGGAACAATAGGTGCGATCAACAATGCATGTACTTGAATCCATCGTAATATCAAATCTTTGTGCATGCCTTCTTGCATAGTAACCTCACGATACCAATCACGAGCGGTTTGTAATTCATAAAATCCATATTTAAGTGCATCACGATAAAGCGCACTTGATATATAATATAATAAAATATAATAAAATAATATAATAAAATAATATAATAAAATATAATAAAATAAAATTAATTATAAGATTATAAATTCTTTTTTAAATTTTACTCACTCATCATATGCTTTTTCGGTTTGTAGAATTAGTTTGTTGATCTCATTCTCGAAGGCACGATCATGAAAACTATCCTTGGATCCCGTTCGAAGATTATCTTGGTTTTTTATTTGCTCCTATTATATATAAATACCAAATAAATTCTATTTAAATTAAAAAAACGAAAACTACAGTATATATTAAAAGTTATTCCTTTATTACCTCACACCATTCCTTTAAATTAAATAATCTTAAGATAGCCGCATTTGCAGTGGACTCCTCAAAATTAGCATCTTCAATTGCATCTCCGGCATCAGCTAATGTAATCCTCGTAGCATCCGCACCATATTTTAGTACAGCATCAGAACCTGTCATGAAATTCCCTGTGCTCTTACTCATCTTTTCTCTATTTAATTGTAAATGACCATTTGATCTTACAGCAAGAGGCCAATTTTTTTCAGGGAAAATAGCGACATGATTATAAATAAAAAATGTTAAATGATTTGGAATTAAATCTTTCCCTGATACTCGAAGATCCAAAGGATAGAAATAATTAAATTCTCGTTTCATTATATCGAACTTTTCTTTTGGTATTGAACATTCCGGATAAGGGCCATTACAAAATATGCACTCCCAAACCTGATCTGTCATTTCTGATGCTTGGATACCAAGTGGTCCTGGTTTTGAACCATTTAAAGTATCACCTATTTTCACAATTTTACAAATGTAATGTAACAAAGTCAACTTAAGAAACTAGTAAAAAATCCTATTTCGATTAATAAATAAGCTGCTCACCGTGTAATAAATGAGATACAGTATAATAGGACATATATATTGTAGAATCTGACAAACTTTCAACCAAATATTGAGGATCCCACGGTAATCTTGATCCAAGACCATAAGATCTAGCACATGCCCATTGATTCAACCAATCAAGAGTTTTTTCAAACTGATTTCTTGATTCTATTCCAAAAGTATTTAATTTTTTTAGACATTTTTCGGCCTGTTTTTTCCACTCTTCTTCACCATAATCCAAGTACCATTGATCACAAAGAGCTACAATACATTCATCTCCTGATCGAGACAACACAAAACCTTCTGGTTCATTATATACAAATCCTTGTCCAGCGGAAATCAACAAATTTTTGATCAAAGGTTTTGCTTCTTGAACTGGTTTTCCTTTATGATCTTCAACAAGCATTATACCGTTGTAAAATCCTTCTTTATATACTAATTCTTTTGCTTCAGCTAATTTCACTTGATCCTTCTGAGAGTTTATCTTTTTTTGTTGACAAATTGTTGGTGCAGCAAGATCTCCATATGTAGGTGTTTGAATGATTGGTATGGGGTCATAAGCTACCCAAGATGGATCAATCTTGTAATAATCGGATTTTTTTTTAAGATCTTGGAAAGTAGCATAATCGTCAGGAGAATCAGATGGAACAGATGTTACAACTCCTGTACCCTTTGTTGCTAGAACATTTTCCATTGGCAATACATAAACTTGTTCATATTTACTCAATGGAGCGCTTACTTTGGTACCAACCAATGTTTCCCCTTTGATTTCAATTATTTGACTAACATGACCACGTTCAATAGAGAAACCTTGGAATGCCATATTTCGAGCAGCACGGTAAGTACACACAAAGACATCAGTTTTGTTGATATTGAAAAGGCCATAATTTATATTAACTCCAACAAAACAATTCGTTTGTCCATACCTTAAAGTAATAAGATTAAAAAAAATTAATTATTTACAGTGTAATAAACATAAATTATAAAAATAGTTATCAAAAGACATACATTGTTTCCGGTCTGAGAGTGGCAGCAACAAAATAAATATTTTTGCCTTCCAATTCTTTGAGCGATCCCAAAACATTATGCAACTCTTTACTCCATTCTAAAACCTTAAGTTTTATACCCGTATACTCTTGTGGTCCAACCCCTTCACCGCTCTGTCGATCATGATCCATACAAGGTTGTCCATCCTTTGGTGAATAAATAGTGTAGCGCTCACCAAACTTAATCTTATTAAGAACTTTTAATTTATTCATTTGCCATCGAACAAAAGAGTCATAATATGGATTGGCATCAGTTGTTATAAAGGATCTACGCCAATCAATCTTAGTTCCAAGTGCTTTGCAATCTCTCTGAGAAAAAAAAAAAAGTACATATATATTAGATTTGAACAATACAATAAAAAAACCAAGTAAAATCTAAAATTATACTAACAATAGCTAGGGGAGGAAAATATTCAAGCCAATAATTTGCATCCGCAAATTTAGCAATCTCATCATCCGGAACTCCTATACTTTGCATTATTTGAAATTGATATTTTAACCCAGTAGATTTTGCTGCAACTTTGCCTTTTTTATGAAAAGCTTTTGTTTCTGTTTCAAGAGGGTTCTTGGATTCTGATTTATTAGCATCTTTCAAATTCAAATCATTAACTCCTTTTATTTCATCAGGAATTTTGAAATTTGGACCAAATTGTTCTAATTCTCGAGCAAGTTTGTCTGCACAAGCCTAAGATTAAATATTAATGAAATTTCATCAACACTTGGTCTCTATCTATTACCAATTTGAATCAAACATATCAAAATTGAACTTACTTTAATTGGCATGCCTGTACAATGAAATCCCATTGGAAATAAAGCGCGTTTTCCTTTCATTCTCTCATAACCTGTTGCAAACTCAACTTTTGTAACAGTAAAAAAATGCCCCAAATGTAATCTTCCGTTCATATATGGGTATGGGAATGTGCCCATATGCTTAGGATATTTATCATGCAGAACAGAATCATCGGGTTCTTTCTCCAAAGACGGTGCATTGACCTCAAATACATGTTCATTTTCCCAAAGTTCTTGAATTCTTTGTTCTATAGCTCTTAATGCGTCGCGTTTAGCGGTCTATTTACAAATTTATGTCTCATAAGATATGTGAAATAATTAAAAAAAATATGTTAGAACACAATTAGATACCTTTTTTGGATCTTCTTTTACTTCGGGAGTAACCATCGAATATGTTTGAATTTTTCAAAAATCAAATCTGACTCAACAGTAAATATTCGTGTAACATTGTAACATGATTAAAATTACCTTTTTCATCGATAATCTAATGATTGATTTAGAAACAAAAAGATTGACGTCCTGCCGTTCTTGAATTAGCGATAGATCTTCAAGGATTGTTTTTATTGTTTTTTTTATTTCGGTGAGTCAGAGGAGAAGTTATTTCTTTTTTTGTCTTAAAAGCAAGTGCTCGATCCGTTTCTTTTGCCTTGTAAATATTGGAATCAAACTGTCATTTAGTAATAGGGTAATTATATATTGATGTCTTTATTATTATTAATAAATTATCAAATATACGATTAAAACAGTACTAGATGATCTTTAAAAATAAAAATTAATTATATCTTCATCAAAATTGAACAAATAATTATTGTTTTAAGATTTTTTCACTTATTTGAACTTTAACTATCAATTATTTATGATATAGGTCTGATCTTTTTACAGGAAATGTACATTATTTTACCTTTGAGATTATTTAATATCATTTTTAATATTTATTTATAAAATAAAAGTTTTATATGCAATAACCATCAATAATTATTTCTGGTTTTATATTATCAAAATTATTTATATGACAAATAGTTGCAACTCTTGAAAATAATTATGATAGGTACCTTTAATATAACACAATTAATTAAGACATATGGTCATAGAGATGGTTGCCTTAATCCAAAAAAAAGAAATTTTAACAATAAACTTTATTGTTTTTGAATTAAGGCAACCATTTATGCATATGGTACAATTAGTTGTAACCAGTTACAATTTCTGTAAATAATTACAGTAGATATTTTTAAAAGAAATTATATAATTTTAACTTAAAATAATTAGTTAATAAATTTGAGACAAGGTCTCATTGAAACAAAGTAAAAATAATAGAAATAATAAAATAATAAAAATTAATAAAAATATTATTATATTATATTCTGTAATCTTAATAAGTATTATATCTTGTGGCCTAAATGATTTTTAAATAATAAATATAATAAAATCAACTAAAATAAAAAAATATAACAGAAATATTAAATAACAATATTAAAGAAATGAAAATAAATACTCAAGTCAAAATATAATTATCTATTATTTAAATCAATAAAGTGAAATGTTTGATAAGTTACCTTCATGAATATAACTTGTCAAATTATTGCAGGTCAAATATAACCATATCAAAAAGAATTTCAATTTTAGTTGATTTATAATATAAAATACAATAGAACAGTTGATTTTTACTGATCTATAATATAGAAATTATCATTTGGTATAGTGATTCTTTTGTATTTGACTAGTACATATAAGAATTTACTTGAAACAATATTAGAATAACAGAAGTTCCTTGATAGACTATTACAGGAAATCATACTAATGATTTTTATTAAATGTAATTGGTTAACAAATTTACAAAAAATTTTGTAATTTTCTATTTTTTATATTTTCACACATGTTTTTAAAATGAAAACTAATATTTTGAACCTTGTACTATTAGAAATTACATTTATACAAATATTAAATTTTATGTAATTACAAAGTTTACATATGAAAAATAGTAAACAAATATATCAAATTTTTTCTTATCTTAAAATTTGTTATCATATTATATTATATAATATGTACAAAACAATTTTCAAATTGTTACTCTTTTTTCAACTGGTTAAAAATTCGTAAATACTATACCTATTGGGTATTAGATAAATAATAAATAAATATAGTAATTTTACTAAATATCAAGTACTGATATTCTATATCAGATACTTAATATTCTATAAATAAGATATATTAATATTCAATATAAAATATCTGTAGAATATCAGATATCTAATATATAATATTGATATTTGATATTTAGCAAAACCATTATATTTATCTGTTACCTATCTGCAGTGTTGTCAAATTTACATGTCCCCAGCTTTTTTAATTGTCCTTGTATCTCATGTCCCACTATTCTTACTCTTAACCAACTTATAAATGAATATTAAAACTTTATAAATATATATAAAAATCAATTTCAAACAATTTTAATTAATAGTCCAAAGCAGATTTTTAAGTAAACTTTTATATATTTGCATTTTAAAAAAAATAATTTTTGTTTTAACATTGTTTCAAAAATGTTCCTTAACAACATTGCTTATCTAATATATGATAAGTATATCAGAAATTAAAAAGCAAAAATTTCTGAAAAATTTTATTTTGAAAAATTTATACAAATTTTTACAAATTTTCACAAATTTTTATATAAATTTTTAAAACAAATCTTTAATTATCTAAATCTAATAATTTTTTTTTAAAAAAAAATATCTTTTTTAAAGTATTTTGAAATAAGTAGAAGTATTTTATTTTTTTTAAAAAAAATAAATAAAATAAACACTATATTTATCTTTACTTATCTTTTTTTTGAAGTTACTTTACAAATTTGAAATTTGAGATAAATAATATAAATTTATTATTATTATTTTTATTAAAAATAAAAAAATCTAAACTTTTATTATTTCTTACCTTATCTTAAAAATACACTTACTTTTTTTTTTTTCTGGTGTTGACCCTAGTTATCAAATCTTATTATTATTATAGTTTATTTATTTATTATATTATTATTTTATTAACATGTATTAGCTTATAACCATATTTTTATTAATATATATTATAGGAAACTATTAGTGTAAATCATTTAAAAATTGGTATAACTATTGGATATTATGACTGTAGATCTGAGTGTAATCAACAGTGTAATGAACACATAATTAATATTATATTCAATAGCATAATTGATAGTGTAATAGATAGCGTAGTAGAAAGTGTAGTTAATAGTGTATACATCAGCGTAATTAACAGTGTATGTATTAGTGTAGTCTATAGTATAATCTATTATAACTTCAGTTATGTATATAAAAGGCTGAATTTCTCTTTGCTCAGTTCTCAGTTTGATAATTAACTCTCAGTTCTTGTTAATAAAATACTTTGTGATTTGCCTTATAAATAATACTCTTGTGAATTATTATTTAAACCATTGTAATTTCTTAGCAAAATTCTGTATTATTCTTAGGCAGAATACTGAAACTCTTGTTAATTATATCTTGCTTTGTGATCTTGATATATTGTTTTAGTATTATAATTCTCTACTTAGTGTTAGGAATTATTAGTTTAATTTAGTTTAGTTATATTCTTTGTGAATAATTTAGTCAAACCTTTATAAAAATCTTATAGCCTTGCCTCTTTCGAACAAATCCGTAATATCTAAATCCTTCAATCATCATATTTTTTAGTATAAATTAGTTAGTAGTTTATTATATTTTAGTTTAACTACAGTATCTTTAACTAATAGTTAATCATATCCTTTGAAGTCAGATCACGGTCAACACTAGTTTATGGAAATTATACATGTTCCCAAAATTGATTTTAAATTTTTGAGGTATTTCAACTTTTTGAAATTTATGCAGAATCTATTCTATATATAGAAATAAAAAAGTACCCAGTTATATGTATATTCAATCAAGAAATAAATCTGGGTGGTCAAAAAATTTTGAATTTTAAGTAAAATAATTTCATCTTCTATGAAAAACTATTTTGACTTTTTTCCCTGAAATTGTAATTTTGGGACCTCAAAATAATTTTGCGTGCAAGTATAGTGGAGATACTGTAAAATTGAAATAAACTTTACAATAGGTTTTATAAATATGATAAAATATTTGATAAATTTTTTCTATTTTTATTTTTTCAAATAATTAAAAATTTATACTTACTTTATCTCTTGCTTTAATAATACATTTCTTTTTTATTCATAAGGATACTATGAAAGCTAAGAATTATAAAACTAAAAATTGTAAAAGTTTAAAAATTGTTAAATATAGTTACTTGATGAAATCTATTTTGAATTTAATAAAAAATATCTTATAATAAAAATATTTTGTTTATTTACAAAATAGAATTTTCTTGTTCTATTACCATTAAATTATTATTTACTTATTCTACTCCTTCTATTCTTTTTATTTCTTCCACTTCTTTTAACCATGCCTTATATTTTTGTTCACATTTTTTTCTATATTCTCTTTCTTTTTTCTATTTTTTTTCTTCTCCTTGTTTTCTTTCTTTTTTCCATTCTCTTTCTTCTCCCTATACTCTTTTTTCTTCTTATCTTTTTTTTTCCATCTTCTTTCTTTTTCTTGTTTTTTTTTTTCTTTTTTTTTTTTTTTCTCTTGTTCTTTTTCTTCTTCCTGTTTCTTTTTTTCTCATTCTCTTTTTTCTTCTCATCTTCTTTTTTCTTTCCATTCTCTTTTTTCTCCTTGTCTCCATTCTCTTTTTTCTTTCTATTCCTAACTTTTTCTTTCTTTTCATCTCTTTCATCTTTTTTTTTATTTCTTTTTATTTTTTATTTTCTTCCTTAGTTTCTTTTTTGATTTCTTTATCAGAACTTTCTTCATTAGAGCTTTCTTCAAATTTATTTTTTTCACCTTGTTCTAATTTTTTCTATAAATAAAATAAAATAATTATTATTTTGTATTATTACAGATAAATTTAATAAATTTATATTTACAATATTTTTTTTATTCTTTTTTAAATAACTTCATCATTTATTTTTATAGTTTTAACATTTGAATTTAGCAAATATTATATTATTGAAATTGTAAAAATAATTTTCTTCTATTAACATCTTTAATTTCTTTTAAATTTTTTCAATAATTTTTATATATCAGATCAAATCTTCATTACCAATAATATTCTAGTTCAACTTTTGTAATATATTTTTAACCTTTTGTGATTTTTTTCATATTATTATTTCACTTGCTAACAATTTAATATTAATCAAGTATTTCAAAATATATTAATATTATAATTTAATAGTATTATACATACATCAGGAAATTTTTTCGAATATAATATTCTGTAATTTTAACATGATGATAAATTTCTGTAATTTTTCACGTAATATTATAAAAATTTACGGAAATTTTTGAAAGTTA